CCCCCAAGACGCCCGAAGAGGGTTCCAAAAAGCTTCCAAGAGGCATCCGAGCGGCATTCAACCATCCACCCAGCGTCATCATTCTCCTCATCCCTCCTTCGCTCGGTTCCTCGCCACCCCCTCATCTATCCATCTGGCCTCCTCTTCCGCCTCATCTTTTGCACGGATCGGCTGTCCCTCTCGTTGCTCCCCCACTTCCCTGATCTCTTCAACTTGCCTGGACATCGTTTCTGGATGGGCTGGTGGGGATACGCGAAGCGTCGAGAATTACGGAACCCTTGCTGTCAATTATGGGCGCCCGTCGGCAATAATAGAAACCCGCGTCGGCAATTTTTGGAACCCATGTTGTCAATTATGGTTACCCGTGTCGGCAGCTATGGAAATCGGTTATGGAAAACCGTGTCGGCAGTTATGGAAATAAACCCGTGTCAGCAATTATGGAAACCCGTGTCGGCAGCTATGGAAACCCGTGTCCGGTTATGGAAAAACCCGTGTTCAATTATTGAATCCTTTGCTGCCGGTTCCTCCTGCCCCTCCTCCTCCTCCTCCTCCTTCTCCTCCTCGTCTCGGCCCCGTCGTCGTCTTCGATCCCCCCCCCCTCCCTCCCTCCTCCTTCTACTCCGCCTCGCCCTCTTCCTTGGGGGGGCGCAAGTAGCGCTGCAAGGAATGAGAAAAGAAATCGGACGAACCCGAAGCGCCCCGATCGCCGCGACGCACGGTGGCGAATTACATGAAACGGCACCGTTATCGCTGAGACGCAGATTGGGGGCCGAACGTTATTGCAAGCGCTGCGGCAGAACTTCCCCGAGAGGGTGTACCCCCCGTTTTCATCGCACTGCTGCAATTGCATTGAAAGCTTCTGGTCAGTGGTTGACATCAGGATGCAAGCCAAACCGAAGACCATGGACGTTCTGGACGAGGTTGAACTCATAGAGCGGGCCATAAAGGCTTGGATGGCGAAAAACACTTTTTCGGACGTGCAGCCTGGCATCAGCAATGGTTCACCGTCGGAGACGCCTGCCTCAAAACCACGCCAGAACCTGTTGCACGGCCGCGGATCGTCGCCAGAGAATGCCCCATGTTTTGCGAAGGGGAAGCAGAAACAGCAATACCGCCGTTGATCAACAATTGGCATTGCCCATATGGCTTAAGAAGGCGATTATCATATCGCAATGGTAGCGCCGAGCAATTTGAAATTGCTCTTGTGTCCTAAATACGACTGGGGCCAATCTGATAACGATCGGCACAGCATTATATTCAGCGCTTTATGCTCTCACCAGAACTTGGTGACAAGGGAGCAAGCATGGGATGCATTGGGTATCAAAACATGCAACGGGCCTGCAAATTTTGGCATCGCGTAAATTCGCGCCACTACGCGCTTCTCACGCTCGCGGCAGATGGGACCTTCGTGGAATCTCATCCACATTACATTGTCGATGGTCAAACTGAACACCGTCTGTGGTTGCAGCACTTGACAAACAATGCCGACCACTTGCCGGCAGCCCCGGCGCGTGCGCGGCGCGCGGGCAGGGCGAGGCGCCGGACTGGTGTTTCCAGGGCCCCGCGCGCCCCCTGACTCAGCAACGATCGCATGGCCGTGCAAACACGTGAAGAAAACAATGATGAGCTATCGAATGCCATTCGATGCGAATGTTGCCACTCGGGACTCGGGGGCCCTGACGGCTCCTTCCCACTCTGCCATTCCGGCTCCCTGTTTCTATTACCATTCCCATCCTTCCCATCCCCGCCCCTTCCCAATCTCTTCCCATTTCAGCTCCCTCCCACTCGTCCGATTCTGGCTCTCTTCCACCTCTCATTCTGGCCCCCCTCCCACTCGCTCCGTTCCTGCGAGCGAGAGGCGAGGAGGAGGAGGAGGAGGAGCGATGAGGAGGAGGAGGAGGAGGAGGAGGAGGAGGAGGAGGAGGAGGAGGAGGAGGAGGAGGAGGAGGAGGAGGGGGAGGAGGAGGAGGCCCCCGCACTCCTTCCGGCGCCTTCCCGCTCTTCCCCTGCCGCGCTCGGCCGCCCGGGGCCCGCCGACGGCGCACCCCGCTCCGCCGGGCAGGGGCGGGGAGGTCGAGGCCGCGGCGGCAGGGGGCAGGGGGCAGAGGGAGGGGCAGGCGCGGAGGTCGCAGAGACCATCGACGGGGAGAGGGTCGCGCGCCCCCTCCTCCTCCTCCTCCTCCTCCTCCTCCTCTCCTCCTCCTCCTCCTCCTCCTCCTCCTCCTCCCTCCTCCTCCTCCTCCTCCTCCTCCTGCCTGCTCCTCCTCCTGCCTGCTCCTCCTCCTCCTCCTGCCTCCTCCTCCTCCTCCTCCTCCTCCTCCTCCTCCTCGTCCTCCTCCCTCCTCCCGCCCGCCGCCACGCGAGGGCGCTGCTCCAGACGCCGGCGAGGGCGAGGAAGTCGTTGCCGATCTGATCGAGGCGCTTCAGGCGGACGGGGGCACCGGGGAGGATGTGGGGCACGAGTTGTTCGGAAGCCCCGACGCCGAGCCCGATGACCTTCTCGAGCCCGACGCCGGAGAGACCGGCACGACCCAAAGAGACAAGAAGGATAAGAAGCATAAGAAAGAGTCCAAACAGAGCAAGACATAGAAACAACATAAGAAAGAACCTGAACCACCCCGTGACGGTCTCGCGATGATCTGCAACCGCGAGAGCCCGAACGCGCAAGAAAACGCATATTCCGATAATGCCCTTCCCTCTTCCGCACCTCGTCCAAGAGAGCGGAGGAGAGATAGACAAAGAGAGAGAGAGAGAGAACAAAAAGAGAGAGAGAGATATCAAGATATCGGCATCGGTACGCCTGTTCGCTCCCCCAGGACCCCACCGAGGAGAAAAAGGACTCTGATGACTTGTACATCTGACCTGGCTGGCCGCTGCGACTCTGAGTGCGACGACTGCGCAGAAAATGCGGGCAGAAAAATGGGAGGGAGCCTGAATGCGAGGAGAGGGACGGACACGGAATGAGGAGAGTGGGAGGGAGCCGCACTGGGAAGAGCGAGAGGGGCTCGGAATAGGGAATAAAGGGGGAATAAGCCCGGCTAGGAAAAGTGGGAAAGCGCCAGAGTGGAAGGCGCCAGAAGGGGAGGAGTGGGAGAGAGCCGGAGTGGGAAGACTGGGAATGAGCGGGAATAGGAAGGATAGGAATGGGAGGGTGCCAGAATGGGAAGAGTGGGAAGGCGCCCGGAATGGGAGGAATGGGAAGGCGCCGGACAGGGAAGAGTGGGAGGGATCCAAAATGGAGGGAGTGGGAGGAAGCCGGAATAGGACGAAACCTGAAAGGGGAAGAGTGACAAGCCGCCGGAATGGGAAGAGTGGGAAGGCGCCGGAAAGGGAGGAATGGGAGGGAGCCGGAATGGGTGGAGTGGGAGGGAGCCGGAGAAGAAGAGCGGGAGGGAGCCAGAATAGGAATAGTGGGGGGGAGCCAGAATCGGAGGAGTGGGACGAAACTGGCATGGGAAAATTGAGATGGAACTTTAATGGGAGGAAAGGGACAGAGACGGAATGGTAAGAGTGGGAGCTAGCTGGAATGGGAAGAGTGGGAAGGGTCCCGACTGGGAAGAGTGGGAGGAAGCCCAAATAGGAAGAGCGGGAAAGCGCCGGGATGGGACGAATAGGGCAGGCGCTGGAATGGGAGGAGTGGGAGGGAGCCGGAACGAGAGGAGTGGGAGGGAGCTGTAATGGTCGGACCGAACTGCCACCCCAAACCTGCACGTGAATGCGGGCTCCTCTTAAAATATAAAAAATGTGGATCGACATGCCATTGAGCCACAGAGCGCCAGGGGGGGGATTATACTATCCGCGGCGCTGGCTCGAGAGGGAAGACGACGGCGAGGACGACAATGACGACGAACATGACGACGACGACGACGACGACGACGACGACGACGACGACGACGACGACGACGACGACGACCAGTTCGAGACAACCCAACTGCGCGCACCACAACCGCATGAGCGCTGCAGTTTGCAGGCGCACCACGAGAACATCGACCAGCGCACGGCAGTTGAGCGACACACCCCTTGACATGCAGGGCGCGGCGGCAGCGACGATCCCGACGCGGCGCGCCCGCGCGAAGCGCGCCCGCGCGAAGCGCGGCCGCGCGCGCCAACGCATGCGCGGGAGCATAGCAGAACGCCCCCGCGCGCGCCAGAGGCGACTCGCACCCCCCCCTGCGCGGGCGCGGCGCAGAGGCGGAGTGCGACAGCCACAGGAGACAACCGGCGCGCGCGAGAGCGCGGCAACGCCGACTCGTGCCGAACCACTCTGGCGCTCCCAGCGCGAACGCTCGAAGGAAGGAGGCCGGCCGCGGAAGGATGGGCGCCAGGCGCCAGAAGAAGGAGTGGCAGGAGACGGGAAAGGACAGGATATATAGAATATAGAGAAAGCGAACTGGGAGCGGCGGCAGCAGGCAGCGCGCAGAAAAGAGAGAGAGAGAGCGAGAGAGAAGGGCGAGAAGATGGCGGCGGAAGAACCGCGATGGAGAGGGACGCAGACGGGCGCCGGACAACAGCGCGAGCGGAGGGCGAGCCCGACGGACGCGGGAAAGTGCGACCAGAAGCGCACAAAAACGCAGGAGGACCCGAAAGGGGGCGACTGGCAACGGGACAGGGAAAGGGCAGGGGGGCGCGCGGGGAACGGGGGCGGCGGGGCGACGGGCGGACGGGGCGGGCGAGGAGGACAAGAGGAAGGACGACGATGAAAGCGCAAGGGCGGAGGGCGAGGAGGACGACGCGAAGCAGGAGCGAAGCACACACGACGAGAGGGAGGTCGAGGAGGAGGTAGCAGAGGAAGAGGAGCAGGGACGGAGAGAGGAGGACGACGACGAGGAACAGGTCGCTCAGCAAGACAGAGAAGGCAAGGCCACAGGGACAGGGGACAAGCGAGCGCAGCGGACATGAAACGACAGGGCCGGGACCGCGAGGCCGCCCGCGTCGGCACCCGCACTCGGGGCCCCGGGACTGCGCAGTCCAGCCCCCCCCCGAGCGGGCGGGCGAGTTTTTGCGCTCGGGGCCGGGCACCGCGGACCTTCCACGCGGCCGCCGGCGCGCTCGCCGGCGCTCGCTCGGCATGGGGGCGGCGCCGACGGGGCGGAGCGAGGCAGCAGCTGCTCTCCGGGACTGGCCGCGGCTGCTGTCCGGCAGGCGCGCCCGCAGCGAGAGCGGCAGCGCCCCCGTCGACAGCGACCGCGGGGGCAGTGTCCGCCCGCGACAGCTGGAACCGGCGCGCGGCACCGCCCCCGCCGTCGTCGCCCCCGTGTCAAGCCCCGCGCGGTCGGCGCTGAGCGCGCGCAGGCCCCTCTCCCGCGGAGCTGCCCGCCTGTGCCGCCGTCTCGCCGCCCGCCTGCTGTTCCGGGCCCTGTCGCCTGCCATCTCGCTGTCCCCCCACCGCCCCGTTCCGCCCCGTGCCGCCCGCCGCCCCCGCCGCCCCTGCTCCTGCCCTGCCGCCGCGGCCCCTGGGGCCTTCGGTGGAGCTCCCGATGGGGCCACGACACGTGTGTGTGTGCCGAAGCTGATGGCGATGATGGTGATGATGACGCCGATGATGGTGAAGGTGATGGTGATGACGACGCCGATGGCCATGATTATGACGATGATGACGCCGATGATGATATGACGATGGCGGATGGTGATGATGGTAGGAGTGAGGGGGAGGAGGAAGGAAGGAACTCGCGGCGCTGTCTCTTCAAAACGAGAACCCAACACAACAGGATGGTTGGGGAAAAACAATGCGCCCCTGAACCATGACAAAAAATGGTCTCATGCGAGAAAGCATCGCGATCTTACGCCGCGGCTTAGGCGGGCCGCCAGCGTGGCACACTGCATGGAAACGAGGGCGCTCACGCGCGGCCTTGCGCAGAAAATTACGCGCCGCGAGCGTCGGCGCAGTCGACCCCGCTGTCTTCCATCGCTCACATGACCACCAGGGCCCGCCAACCAATCACCCACCATGGCCGCCGCGAGGAGCCAGCCTGGCCCCAGAGCCCCAGCACATTCTACTGGGCTTGAGCTTCATGGAGTGAGGGCCTCTGAAAGGGTGAAGCACTCTGATCTCTGATGCCCGCCTCTCCCTTCCTAGCCGCCTCCCCCTCCTCATTTCCCCCCCTCCTCTTTGGAACGACGCCATCTCCCGCGAGCCAACTGCGCCGACTTACACTCGGACCTAGGACAACACAACATCCTTCAAGAGCGTGGGACCCTCCGCCGGCCAAAACACACAGAACATCCAAGGGTGCCCTCGCACCCAACAAACACGAAGAGCGTTAGGGCACCCTCCCCGAGCCGACCTCGATCTCATACCTCGGTCCGACTGTAGGTGGCTTTGATCGTTCCCTCTTCCAGTCCCCCTCCCAACTGCCAGTTGCGGAGGGGTCTTCACTGCGCATCCCCCTTGGCCAGCGTCGCAACACTTCCCCCCTTAGCCCGTGGACGGGGTGCGGCTGGCACCCTGGCGCGGCCGCTGCCCCTCCGACGGACCGCGGAGACGCGGGCGAGGCACGGAGGAAGGCCTTTGCGGGGCGGAGGCTCGGACTTGCGCACGGGGCTGGCGCATGGGAAATGCGCGACAGCGCCACGCATGCGGCCCCCTGGTTCGAGAGGGCGCTCCCAGGCGCTTCACGAGCGCTCCCAGGCGCTCCCAGGCGCTTCCAAGGCGCTCCCAGGCGCTCCCAGGCGCTCCCAGGCCCTCCTAGTCGCTTCCCAGGCGCTCCAGATGGAGGGGGTGGACCTCTTAGGACTCATTTGAGCGACGATCTGAAACGGGTCTTCGTAGCGACCTCACGCGGGCAGTTTACGCGCCAATGTCGGCGCAGACGACCCTGATTTCTTGTGTCGCTAATTTGGACATTTTTTGGGGTGCTCTTGGGGCCCTGTGTGGGCCCCGCTTGGGACCTTCTGGGGCCCTCTTGGAGCCCGAGGGGCCCTCCTCGGACCGTCCTGCGACCAGCGCGGCGTCAAGTACAGGCAGTTAGTTACCATAGGCAAAAAGGTCCATCAAATCGGGAAGCCGGTTCGAAACCGGAGTCCAACCGACTCTTCTGGAATCGGGGCACCATCGCGTCACACATCGAAAATCGGAGACCAGAGATCGAATCGGACCCGGAATCGCATCGGACAAAATCCTGGGAGTCGGATCGACACTCGGGTGCGTCCAAAGGGGGGGCGTCCAAGGTGGGGACTCGCAAATCAAAGCCAGGAAACGCAGTGAAAGAAGAAGAGGGGGGCCATGAGATCTGAGTGGTGTTCCGGCCGCGCCATGATACAGCCGGACCAGGGACAGAGGAGCAAACTTCAAGAGCACGACTCCGTCTGCCAGCCAGAACTGAAGAAAATGTGGTACCCTCCCCCAGGATGCGCAATAACATACAACAGGCATGAAGAGCACAAGGGTGCCCTTGCCGAAGCGACCTCGACCTTCTACCTCGGTCCGACCGTACGCACCGCCCCAGTAGTCGTCACCCCCCTCCTGGCCGCCCCCGATGGGACCAGACCCCTTCCCTCGACGGCTTCGCTGCACAGGGTGCGCAGCAGCTTGTGCATGCTGAGTGTGGATTTGGGAGGCGAACGGGTCCTCCTCAAACCTCCTCCTCCTCCTCCTCCCCCAGAAGAACACGGGGATCCCAGGTGAACATTTTCTTCTTTGGTGTTTCGACATTGGGCCTAAGGGGGGGGATGGGGGGAGGTCTGGCACCAGACCTCTGCTTAACGCGACTGTTTACAACAATGCGTCCTGTGAGGGAGACTCCACCCGCTTGAGACAGGCGCAGAAAAACATGCAAAATCTGCTCCATATGGGGGGGGGGGGCGAGGGCCCGCGCCGATCGGCAAAACAGTGAATAAGAAAACGATCACCAAGACTGGTGACCGTGTCGGATGTCTCGCAATTTGACCCTGCCGTGGGGACACTCTGGGGCGCTCTTAGGGTCCTCATCGGAGCATCCGAACCCGTCTTGGGTCCTCCCTGGGCCCTTCTAGGCTCGCTCTTCGGCGACCTTGGAGCAGTGTTGAGGCCCCAAGAGCCGATCACGATGGGCCGTCTTGGGGCGGTCTTGGGGGCCTCTGGGGCCGTCGTGGAGGCCGTGAATATTCAAATTGCGACTCTGCTAGACATCGACGTTTTCCTTAGGGAATGCTGCAATTTTGGCTAACAAGGGGCGCTCTTGGGCAGCATCTTGGAGCCTTCTCAAGGCGTCTTGGGGGCCTCATGGGCCGTCTGGAGGCCATCTCGGGGCGTCTTTGGCCCTATTGCGCCGCTCTCGTCGATTATCCGTGCTCCCTGCGAGGGTGTGTTGGGCGGCCAGGGCGGCCGTGGGGAGGCCCGAGATGCCCCCGAAGGGGGGATGCTCAAAAAGAGGGGGGGACATCTGGGAAGGTGTGCTGCCCTCCGGGGTCCCCGCACATGATAGTATATGACATGTTATGTTATGAACTGATCCGTGTTTACATGTATGTACGCATACATGCGTACACACATACATACATAACTGTATACACATACATATGCATCTGGTACATGTACATCTGTAAACATGTGTGTACAATCATGCTTAACTGTGTACTCTGTTACACATCAATACATGCGCATGCAGGTGTTTACGCATATACATCTATGTATACATACATACACATATAAACATTTATAGGTGCAACTATATGCATACATGTGGGTATGTATGTATGTATATATATATATATATATGGTCCAGGGCTTGGGCCCCCCCCCCCCAATGCTGATGCCATTGGGCCCCCCCCCCCGCGCGATGGTCCCCCCCGCCCCCCCCTGTGGGCGTGGCGTGGTGCTGCGCTGCGGTGCCCCCCCCCCCCTGTGGATGTGGTGTGGTGCTGTGGTGGTTCAGAGGTGGGCGTGGCGTGGTGCTGCGCTGCGGTGCCCCCCTCCCCCCCCCTGTGGATGTGGTGTGGTGCTGTGGTGGTTCAGAGGTCGTCGTCGTCGTCGTCGTCGTCGTCCTCGTCGTCGTCGTCGTCGTCGTCATCGTCGTCGTCGCCGTCGTCATCGTCGTCATCGTCGTCGTCGCCGCCGCCGCCGCCGCGTCGTCGCCGCCGCAGTCATCGTCGTCGTCGTGTCGTCGTCGTCGTCGTCGTCGCCGTCGTCGTAGTCGTCGCCGTCGTCGTCGTCGTCGTCGTCGTCGTCGTCGTCGTCGTCGTCGTCTCTGGGACCATACCATCTGGGGGGGGGGGGGGGGCCCGCGGAATCCTTGGACCATACCATCTGGGGGGGAGGGGGGGGGGGGGCCCGTGGGCCCGGAGCCCGGGACCATATATACATATGTTTGTGTATACGTGTGTGTGTGCATGTGTATGTGTATGTGCATGCGTGTGTGTACGTGTATGTGTATGTGTATGTGTATGTGTACGTGTGAGTGTGTATGTGTATATGTGTGTGCATGTGTATGTATGTGTATGTGTACGCGCGTGCATGTGCATGTGCAGGTGTATTTGTAAGGGTAGTGCATGTGTATGTGTATGTGCATGTGTAAGGGTACGTGTATGCGTCCGTGTATGTGTACGTGCAACTGTATATGTATATGTCTATGTGTGTATGGATATACATGTATGGTTGTATGTATGGACATATGTCAGTATGCAGGTATGTGCTGATACGTATGTCTGCATATATGTGTGCGTATGTATGTACGTGTGTATATAGATACGTATGTATATGTATGCGTACGTATGTATGTATGTCTGTATGTATGGGTGTATGTGTACATACCTACATACATATATGTATGCATGTATGCATACGTACATGCATGCATGTATGTATGTGTGTATGTGTGTACACAAGTATGTGTACGCGCACACACACATATATATATACATACGTAGGTGCCTCGAGTCATGCACCTTAGTGCTTCGCGTCCAACATACAGGCGGAACAAGAAACAGGTATATGATCAAAGACAGCGAGCGCTTTTGATTGCAATGTTAGCCATCACCGTTATCATATTGTTGTTGCGTCTCCTTCCCTCACGTATCCTCTTCCTCTTCCTCGTTCTCGCCTTGATTGCTCCGCGAACCCTTCCCCATCCTCCTCATATTTGTTTGCGGAGGCTCCTCCGAGGCGAGTTCTTCTGGAGACGTTCATTTTGAACCTTTTGGCGGCTTCTGGGGATTTCCCCGGGCCACCATGCCGCGAAACGTGGTCGCGGGTCACTGTTTAAATGCTTCGGGAGGCGTCTCGGGGCAATTTTGGCCCGTCATGGGGCCCTCTGTGGGCAGTTTCGAAGCTCACTTTGGGCCGTCTTGGGGCTCTCTTGGACTGTCAAGAAGCCTTTTTGGTCTTCTTGTGACAGTTTTCGGTGCCTCCTGGACGTTCTCGGGCGCCCAGAAGACCGAATCACCGAGACCAGCCCAAGATCATACAGAAACCGATGGGAAATCGATTCTTTCTCTGCTTCTCGGAAGCCTCTTGGGGGTGATCTTTGGGCCGGCTTCGGGCCTGGCGGCGGTCGTTGAGCAGGGAACGACCGTCCCCGCATTCCTGTAGGCCTACCACGAAAGGTGCTTAGAGCCCAGAAATGTTGTTTAAGAACAAAAGCCATGTTCTTAGAACATGAACATGAACGATGTGCTTCGCCACTGCTTGAGGTCGTTTTCTAACGGTCCCAGGGCCCGGCGAGGGCCCCCACAGAGGCCGAAAATCATTGAAAACTTCCCGCCGAGACTTTTTCATTGCTCGAGGGGGTCTGGGGAGCGGGGGCCAGGGCAACGCGGTCTCTGGGCAGCGGCCTGGCAGCGGCCGATGGCTGCTCTGGGCGTGGTCGGGGGCCCAGACATCCGACGTCTCGATTTTTTCGAGACGCGGGCCCCCGACCTCCCGACCACTTCCCTGAGACCGGTTTTTCATACCGAGTCGTTTTTGACGGTCCCGGGGCCCGGCGAGGGCCCCGAGAGGCCGAAAACTACGAGAAACCTCCGTCTCGATTTGTTCGAGTCGCCAGGCTCTCAGGGGCGCCGCTGGAGGCCATCGCGGGCCGTCTTGGGGAACCGCCTGGAGCCGCGGCCGACCCGCTCGCACGGCCTGGCGGGGACCGGCAGAGGCCCGGGAAATTTCGCGGCACCCCTGGAAGGGGAGTTCCAGGACCGCAGGGTGCCAGGTCACAGAATATAGGCAAGGAGTATAAGCACATGTATATGTATATGTATATGTGTATGTCTCTCTCTATTTATTTATTTATTCATTTATTTATTTATTTATTTATTTTCATATATATATATATATATTATATTATATATATATATATATAATATTTATTCCTCTTCCTATATTTTTACAAGCCCGCGGGCGGGGGAAAACCCGCCCCCCCCGCCCCCCAAAAAACGGGCTCCCTGGATCTGGGGCTTTGGGGCCCTCCGGACGGGCCTCGAAGCGGCCCCCCGGGCCTCGCAGGGCGTTTTGCCAGGCCTTCCCAGCACACCTAGGGCGATCGGGGGGGTCATCGAAGACGTCCCAGAGATCCCGAAGACAGCACAAGAGCGCTCCAAGAGTGACCGACGTGACCTCAAGACGACCCCCAAGAAGACATCACATCCCCCAAAAACGTCCCAAGAGGCCTCCAAGAACACTCCCCAGAAGGCCCCAAGAGGCAAACATCATTGATTTTCTATTGGTTCTTGGTGAATTTTGGGGTTCTCCTCTTTTGGGCTTCCCGACGCTCCAAGACGGCGGTCTTCTGGGCGTCCGAAGCCGCCTGGGAGGCTCTAAAATCGCCCCATAACCATTCCAAAGGGCTTCCAGGCAGTCCAAGAGAGCCCCAAAACGGCACAACAAGGGTCCAAGATGGCCCTCAAAGAGCCCCATGGCAGCCCAAAATGGCACCAAGACGCCCTCCGAAGCATTCCAAATCGTGACCCGGTCGTTCAGGGAGACCGCGGTTGGAGGCAGGGCGACCCGAGGAAACCCCCACAGAGGCCCCCAGAACATGCCCAAGAGGCCTCCAGAAGGCCTTCAGAAAGCTTGACATAACTTTCGCGAGGCCCCCAGAGGCTCTCCAAGGAGGAGCCTCCGCAAAAAGAGCCGAGGAGGATGGGGAGAGTGCGCAGGGTATGGCGAAAATGAAGAAATAGAAGCATGGAGGAAGGATAACGAATGACATTTTATAGCGGCGATGCCAGAAAAGGCAACAAGGAGTTATCGCTAAATTGTCGGCTTGACCTTCCTGCTATTCCGCCTGCATGCCACACTTCAAGGACCAAGGTGCATGGCGCGAAGCGCCACTGCAATCTTGTATATATGTCGGAAATTGGGGGGTGAGATCGCGGTGAAACGGAGACCCCCCACCAGGAATTCGGTTTTGGTTTCGTGTTCGTGTCGTGCGTGCGAGGCGAAGCTGCGCGTGATCCTCCTGTAGCTACGCCGAAGTAGGAGCGAAAAACCGTTCCCGTCCGCCGGTGGCTGGGAGGTGTCCCTGTTGGGCCGGGCGGTGTCCCGGGTGTCCCGGGTGTCAGTAGGAGCGAAAATCCGTTTCCCGTCCGCCGGTGGCCGGGAAATTCCCAATTGGGCTGGCCGGTGTCCCGGGTGTCCCGGGTGTCCCGGGCGTCCCGGCGCTAACGCATGTCGCTAATTTCATATTTCATTTTTTTTCGGCGCTTGCGGCGGGCTTTCTCATCCAATCCAGCTTATCTTATCCAATCCATCTTGTTCAATCCAATCCATCTTATCATGTCCAACCATCTTGTCCCATCTTCTCTTATCCCACCCAATCCAATCCACCCAACCCAATCCATCAATTCATTTGTTTCTGCGACTGCGGCGGGCCAATCCAATCCATCTTATCTTATCCAATCCATCTCTTCCAATCCAACCCATTTTATCTTATCCAATCCATCTTATCCCATCCAATCCATATCCACCCAACCCAATCCATACATTCATTTTTGTCGGCGCTTGCGGCGGGCTTTCTTTTCCAATCCAGCTTATCTTATCCAATCCATCTTGTCCAATCCAATGCATCTTATATGATCCAACCCAGATTGTCCCATCATATATTCTCCCACCCAATCAAATCCATCCAACCCAATCCATCAATTCATTTGTTTCTGCGCCTGCGGCGGGCCAATCCAATCCTACTTATCCAATCCATCTCTTCAAATCCAACCCATCTTGAGAGATGAGATCAAGGTGACATGCTGGAGGTCTGTCAAGGTGGGCATTTGATCTCAATCCCCCCAAACCTCCTTATCGCCCGCAAGGCGGTCGTATAGGTATATTTACATATCGGAAGTTGGGGGGTGAGTCCGACGTGAAACGGAGACCCCCCCTACTGGGAAAACGATTTCGGTTCCGGGTTCGTGTCGTGCGTGCCGTGCGTGCGTGCGGGCGAGGCGAAGCTGCGTGGGCGGGCGAGAAGAAATCCTGTGGCTAGGCCGCGGCTGGACCAAATGTAACTCCTCCGGCGGCCGGCGCCGCGCGGTGTCCCGCCGGTGTCCCGCGGGTGTCCCGAAATCCTCCTGTGGCTGGGCCGCGGCCAGACCAAATGATACTCCTCTGGCGGCCGGTGCCGCGCGGTGTCCCGCCAATGTCCCGCTGGTGTCCTGTGGTGTCCCGTGGTGTCCCGGTGAGTGAGATCGATCGTGAGATCGATAGTGAGATCGATACTAAGATCGATGTGGTGCCCCGTGGTGTCCCGTGGTGTCCCGTTGAGTGAGATCGATAATGAGATCGACAGGTGTCCCGTGGTGTCCCGTGGTGCCCCGTTGAGTGAGATCGATAGCGAGATCGATACTGAAATTGATGTGGTGCCCCGAGGTGTCCCGTTGAGTGAGACCGATCGTGAGATCGATACTGAGATCGATGTGGTGCCCCGAGGTGTCCCGTGGTGTCCCGTTGAGTGAGATCGATAGTGAGATCGATCGTGAGATCGACAAGTGTGCCGTGGTGTCCCGTGGTGTCCCGTTGAGTGAGATCGATAGTGAGATCGATTGAGTCAGATGTTGGTTCCCCCCCGTCTCCCCTCCCCCACAACCTCCTTATTACCCGAAGGGTGGTCGTATAGGTGTGTGTGTATATATATATATATATATGTGTACTCATGTGCTGATGCCTATATTTATTATATATGTGGCTCTCGTTTCGGGCTGAAGCGGTCCCTGTGGTGGGTTTTGAGGCAGAAGGAGGAAGAGCGGAGCGTGCCCAGACGGCCGAAGTGCTGTGGAGCGGAGCGTGCCCAGACGGCCGAAGTGCTGCTACTGTTCCGTCCGCGGGCCGAGGCCTTGACCCCTCCGCCAGGGGGCCACAGAAGCTCCGGTTGGGGCTCCCCCTCCTCCTCCTACTCCTCCTCCTCCTCCTCCTCCTCCCTCCCTCCTCCTCCTCCTCCCTCCCTCCCTCCCTCCTCCTCCCTCCTCCTCCTCCTCCTCCTCCTCCTCCTCTCCTCCTCCTCCTCCTCCTCCTCCTCCTCCTCCTCCTCCTCCTCCTCCCTGGAGGCGCGCACGAATGGGGCGGGACCTGGAACTTCGCCCCGCCATGAGCCGGCGGTTCAAAGGTAAAGGTAGGGCCCCGGCGGATGGGGCCGTAAAGACGAGTGGCCGCAAGGAGTGCCAATTCGGACAGAGCTCGCAAGCAACAATGACGTGCCACATCAACCGTGCAACATTTCGGCATGAGCCCACGTCAGACGATTCGTCACCGCCGCGGCGGGTGCGTGTCACTCTGCGTAAAACTGTTCTGGGACAAACAATTTGCCGTCAACTATGGGTCTTGTGGTCCTCCGTATTTTTGCCTCGAGCACTCTTCCGTTTACTTTTTCGCCCGTAGTTTTGCCGACAGGAGAACCCGATACATCCAAAGTCATTTCGATCGTCACCGTGCCGCTGGGGTGCTCCACGACGACGTTCCTCCGCTCCCCAGTTTGAAACACATTGATACTATCAGCTACCGTCCCCTCGAATGTGGTCGCTACAGCTATCGCTATGGCGCCAGTCACAGCATGCGCCGAATGGCAACGGTCTGGAACGAAATAACGGCTTGCGATGCTGTGAAGGGGATTCAGTGGCGGCGACAGAACGCAGACCTTAGGGAGGTTCTTACCTCTGGCATCACCCATGCCCATCACACGAGACGCTTCTCGTCGGACTTGCTCCAACTTTGAAAGAAAGTATGTATCCGAGTTAAGGCTCTCAGGGTTTTGATAGCCTAGAGTGGCAAAGCTCTCAAACATACGCCGAATATGCTCGTGTATTAAATTTGTACTGACAACGTTCTCACCGAAGTGCCGTGCTGCCAAATCCGCTACAAACCGTTGAGTCTCTTCTGAATGCGCATCATCCAAATCTGGAAACACTATTGGTTCTCTCTTCTTGCGGTTGGATATTATCATATCACATGAAGAGTGGGACGCGTAAACCTCTGACTTACCCTGAATCGTTTCATCATGCCCAACTGGGTTTGCCAGAAGAGACTGCGACAAATCGGCTCCATGCATCAAGACGACTGGATTCGCACTGTCGATGCAGGTGCACCTTACTCCTTGTATAACATCTATCCGTTTACCAGTGGGGAAAATCTTGCCGGTTAGAGGTCCCAGCACGTCCAGAAACGACACCTCAACAGGAATGCCAGCCTTGGCAGCAACGTCCTCATCTGCATAGCGGAACGCCTGTGGTAACACCTCATTGGACAATCTTGGATGCAAATCGCCATTGCAAGACAAGCTAGGGCAACCTCTATTCAACGGGACCTTGACAACGCCACGTGTAGATGTGTTAGTGTTGAGCACTCTCACGCTTTTGTACCCCACCGCCAAATCATTCTGCGTGAGGTCTACCAAACCCCGTAAGATAGCGAACGGACCCACACCCGACATGATGTTTCCGCAATTGGCTTTCCATTTGACGGCGGGCTCACGCGTCCCAACTTGAGCAAAAGTGTAACATACATCAACGGTTGTAGAAGACGCGCCGGCCGACCCTGGATCGTCTTCTGCCTTGCATACAATGGCTGCCTTCGACAATATCGACACACCACCACCCCCCAGCCCATTTGCCTGGGAGCCAAAAGGATCCGGGCTGCCCATGGCATGCAGAAGCACCTTGCCTCGCTGTTCCCTAGACTTTGGGAGATCGTTGGCGAGGAAATATGGACCCCGCGACGTGCCACCGCGCATGAGCATGAATGGAACCTGTCGCATTGTGATGGATCGCTTTTTGCGAAATCAAGATCCTTCTGCGCTTACGCTGAGTGGAGCCCGAACTCAAGTCAACCTATTCTCGCTTCTCAGCGCAACACCTGTCACCCCATATCTATGAATCTGTGTGTGCCAGCGAAGGACAAGAAAAATTGAGCCAAGATGCTTTGAGCCAAAATGGCTACGGTAAACAGTGAAGGCTTAGCTTGGGATTCCCGTTGCTACCCTGAGGGCCCTCAATCGGAGGAGGGCCATTTGAGACAGCGGCAACTTCCACGCCTGGACCGAACCCTTCTAAAGCGGTTCCCAAACCTCTCTCGGAGTACATCCTGACCCGTTTTTCGAGGCGGGTCCAGCCATGGCGACGAGAAGCCTTCAGAATCCCAAGAGAAACGAACCACGCCGGGAAAGGCCGCCGCTGTCTCGACCTGGTCTTCCCTCGACCATCCCCCAGGGCCTCATCTCTGAGCCGCCGAGAGACACCCTACACTGTAGGGGAAATGGCACACGCGGGCATGGCGCTGCACAACACGGCACGGCACAACGCAGCAAAGCACAGCGCGGCCCCGCCCCAAACCGAGTCGTTAGTCGCAGCCGCGACGCGTCGACGTTTGCAGGAGGACGCGGCCTGCTGGGGCCCTCTTGGGGGCCTCTTGGATCTTGGGCAATCTTCAGGCGGTCTGGGCAACATCTAGGGCTCTCATCTGTGGCCTTCCTGGGCTGTCGGACGTCCGAGGCGAGAACACGAACATCCTCCAAACTCATACCGGAATGTGCATGTCTTCTGGACGTTTCTTCTGGCTCCGTGTCTGGAAGCTTCTGCTCCTCCGTCGGACGCCATCCGGAAGGCCCTTCCCGCCCCGTGACCCCGCCAGGAGCTCTCGAGAGTCGTGCCACGTCACCTCGAGCCGCCTTCTGTGCTCCTGAGCTGCCCTCTGGAGTCTCACGAGGGTCCTGGAGGTATCTGGTGCCTTCGTGGAGCCTTTTTCTTCCAAGCTGCAGAGCCAGATTGCGGAATTTCCTGGAGAGGCCCTGGGGCCGCCAGAACCGCCCAATCCCCCCAAGACACCGCTATGCATAAGTATAGGTGCATCTACGTAAATCCATGCACACATGTACGAACACTGGGCAGATGCACTGCGGTTCTGGCTGCCTGCATATCTACGTAGATGCCTATATACATATATGCGTACACTATATGTACACATAAAAACACGTATACATACAGCACATACGCATGCATACGTCCATACATTCAAACAACCTACACTTTTACATACACATATACATATACATATACATATACATGTACACATACATACAATCACGCATACACACATACATGCATGAATGCATCCATACGTATGTACATGTATGCATGCGTACGTACGTACGTACATATATACCTACACACATCCACACATGCATACACATGTGTACGTACACATCTGCAGTTACACAAACATGCACGCATCCATACCCATATACATATGCATATGCATATTCATAGGCATACACATCTATAGATACGCATGTAGGTGTATAGTGCTAGTTAACTGTTCGTCTGTGACTGCGAGAAGCCATCGGGCCTTCACGGGAGAGGAAGGGTCGCAAGAGACCCGCTAGTATTCCTACGATGTTGGCGCACCCCCTCACCCTTCCCGCCCTCTGCTCCCTCCCTCTCTGTACCAACCCCCTTCTTTATTTTTCCTCCCAAGTGCCTCGCCTCGCCCTTCCCCTCCCCCACTACTTCCCCCCCCCTCCACATCCAGTCCACAGCTCGCCTTCCCACTCCTGCCTTTCCCTCCTCGCCCCCAGATCTCTTTTGGGCGTCGCTCCATGGGGGCGACACAAAGGGGTGTGGGGGGAGGGAGACCGGCGAACATTTTGGGCCCTGAAGGGCCACCCTTTCCCTCCAGGGCCCCTATAAGGGGCTCCTTTTCTGCAGCCCTTGCCGCCCCCCCGTGTGGCCGATCCCGGAAACCGTGAACCCACAAACCTTGCCATCTCTTGGGAGGTCGACTTTTGCTTCCGCCGAGCTTCCGCTGGCTTCCGCCGCCGGAGCCGCCCTCGTTTTACTTCTGCCGACCTTCCGCCGACCGTCCGCCGCGGAAAAGATTCAGACTCTTTCTGTCCTCGAAGGCGAAGCCCTTGTTGGAACGCTCCACGTATCGCCCCCTCGCGAAGCCCAACCCTCGCCCGCAGCACGCCCGCCGGCTTTTCCACCGCGGCCGCGGGGATGCCCGAGAGCTCGAGCGCGGCCCCGCCCGCAGGACTCGCCTCTCGCCGCCGAGGACTTGAGAGGCCCCCGCGCACACAGGGAGACGGCACGAGGCCAGGCCACCGGCGCGACGAGGGACGAGGGGAGGGCGGGGGGAGAGAGGGGAGCCCCGTGATCCTGGCGTCTGACCAAACTCTTATTGGTCGACGATAAAAAACTCTAACGACTTAAGGGGGGGGTGGTCACTTTATTCTCATCGGCATGGGGTTATTTTCAGAACGGGCGTCTTCGCTTCACGTCGGGCTCCGGGGCCCTCGCAGGTCGATGCGGCTCGAAGAATGGCGCAGGAAGGTGGAGTCTGGGGCTCCATTTCGCGATTTTTTGTCGTGCTGCCTTGTTTTGGCAACGCTGGATCTCAAGGAAGGAAGGGGAGAGGGGCGTTTCCGGTGGTTCTGCTCTGTGTGTGCGCATCCATGTGTGCGCGTATCCGCCACCGTGCTTTCTTTCAGTGTGGTGGAATGTCTCGAGGCACACACAGGTGTGAGTGCGAGAAGACTTGTAGGAGGATTCTTCGCAGCCCAATCCACAACTTTCCACAACTTTGCCAACATTTTTGTTGGCGCTCCTGGGTGCTTCTGGTATTTGTCGTGTGGGCCTCGGGCCAAATCCGCCCGAACCGCGACTCCAACATCCCCCGAGAGCCTTTCAAGCAGAACTCAAGAAAGCTCAGGAACTGGCGGAAGCCCCAAAGAGCTATCGTGGGGCTCTCTTCGGGGCCTCTGGAATCTTGTTGGGAGCCCTGGGGGTGGGCCCAAGAGGCCACATTCACTGGACCAGCCTGTGGTACTGTGTGATGCTTGCATGCTCTGCTTGTTTTTCTTCAACACATCTAGGACGGCTCAAGAAGCCCCGAAGACCCGCCAGAGAGGGCCTCCGACGCGCCCAAGCAGGGTCCAGGAGGCTCCCAAGAGGCCCCAAAGAGGGGGCCTCGAGCTGACATCTGGAGCCCTCCACGTCAAGATGGCCCCAGAGACAGCCAGCAGGCCTCCAAGAGGGACCCAAAGCTTTCAAAAGGGCCAGAGGAAGCCCTCAAATGGCTTCCATCCAAGAGTACTCTTGCTCACGATGCGGGCGCGGTGGCAGGATGGACCGACAGTCACTTTTTATTCACATGCGTATATACGCATGTATACATCCATACGCACCGTCACAGGCTTGTAGAAGTGCTGGTAGATCTATGTGCACGGGGGGGAAGGGGTGCGGGCTAAGTCGTTGGCGCCCACGAGAGAACCAAGACGGCCCTAAGAGGTCCCGAAGAGCCCCCCAAGACGACCGAGACGAGCCAAACACACGGCCAACGATGGCCGCAAGACGGGGCAACAGGCTCCCCCGATGACCTCAGGAGCTCTCAGGCGGTTCTTGTGATTTGCTGGCTGCTTGTTGCAATGACTCGTTTTGTTCCCAACCATGCTGTGTTGAAGTAAATCGTTCTTTTGGATCACCTGCGCCAAGCGGCTTCCTTTCCTCCTTGCCACTCCTCCCATGTTGCGCCCGCATGCCGCCACCACCCCACTTCGGCGCATGTGTGAGAGAGCGAGGGGGAGGAGGGGGAGGAATAGGAGACAGATGAGGGAAACATTGAATATCAAGGATCAACAATGAGGGGAGGACCTCAGGCCATCTTGGGGGCCTCCTGGGCCGGCTTTGGGGCTTCTTGGGCCGTCTCGGGGGGTTCCGTCAGCCCCGCGGGACGACCCTTTTGGGCCGTCTTGGGCCCTGTTGGGTCTCTCTTGGGCTGTGTTGGGGTTCCTCGGGGGCGTCTGGGGCACTGTGAAGACGAAGCAAGCGAGTATGCTGAAAACGTACGTTTTACTAGGGGAATGGGCCGATGTTTGCCTTTTGTAGGCCCTCTTGGGGCCCTCGTCGGCCTTCTTCAAGCCATCTCGGGCCCTCTTGGGGCGCTCTTGGGCGTCTTCGGGGCCTCTTGAAGCTTGTTTGACCATCTGTACGGCCCGCGTGGCCTGTCGCAGGCAATTTGGAAGCGACCCGGGGCAGTCCCGGGGGCTCTGTGACCCCCCAAAAGTCCCAGGGGGCGCCCATGGAGGATGGCGGCACCGGCCGGGCCCCACCCCCGGCCTACTCCGATGTATATATATACACACATCAATAGCTATACACACATGAATACACAGACGCACACATATACATACACATGTGTATGCACACATACAATTAGATAGATGGTCGCACACTTGTATCCACATTTAGACTTACAGACATGTACAACCATACACATGCATAAGCATACACACATGGCTTCTATGTCTGTTTTTATGGCAGCCATCGTAGACCCGTTGTGCAAACTATATGGTGCAATCTACGTCTTTCAAGCTACAGGCGGCAACGAAACGGCAAGGGACAACAACGTGGCAAAGCCTCGCCGGACATACCCAGCGCACGAGGCGGTAACGAGGCGGCAACCGGCACCTACGTGGAGAATCCTCACCAGACCCAGTCACTTCCTTTGTGGAATGCACGAACCCCTAGGGGCAAACATTGTTTGGGGAATGTATGCTTATATGCACATATATATACACATGCACACAAGCAGACACTTTTATCTATCTATGTATGTACATGTGTGCATCATATGCAAGAATTGGCACAGGGAGGTGGGGAACGAGGGTCTGGATCGGGGGGAGGAGGATGAGAAGAAGGAGGGGAATGATGATGATGATGATGATGATGATGATGATGATGATGATGATGATGATGATGAGGATGAGGATGATGATGATGAGGAGGAGGAGGAGGAGGAGGAGGAGGAGTGGGAGGAGGAGGAGAGGAAGAAGAGGAAGAGGAGGAGGAGGAGGAGGAGGAGCAGGAGGAGGAGGAGCAGGAGGAGGAGGAGGAGGAGGAGGGGAGGAGGGCGAGGAGGGGGAGGAGGCATGATGACGGAAGAGGAGGAGGGAGGGAGGACGATGGGTAGGATGGATGAGGAGGAGGAGGAGGAAGAAGAAGAGAAGGAGGAGGAAGAGGAGGAGGAGGAGGAGAAGGAGGAGGAGGAGCAGGATGGAACGAGAAAAGCCAATCAGCGCCGACCACGCCCGCGGCTGCGCTCCCGCTGCTGCTGGCGCGGGCCCGGGAGGCTGGAACCCCTGGGACTAACGGGTTCCTCCTGAACCGTTTATCGAAATTCCTGGGGCCCTGCGAAATCCCCGACATCGGCCGAACACGGCCAACGCGGCCGAAAAACCGCCCGTCGTGATTTGTTGCTCGACGCGAACATGTCTGGGCCCGACTGCTTGGCCATCTCTGCCCCCAGGGGCCCTCGCACCTCCAGGGCCCCGATGCCGCCCGCCGCTCCGCCCGCGTCGGCTCCGGCTCCGCTCGCGGTCCGCCTTCTTCAGCTCCTGCCCCCCCCAACAAGCAATCAACAACAAAGAGGGATGATGATGATGCTGATGATGATGCTGATGATGCTGCTGCTGATGATGATAATGGTGAAGGTGATGAGGCTAATGATGATGATGATGATGATGATGGTGCTGCTGATGTTGCTGATGATGCTACTCATGATGATGCTGCTGATGATGCTGCTGATGATGATGCTGATGATGATGGTGGTAATGCTGCTGATGATGCTGACGATGACGACGATGATGACGATCATAATGACGGTGACGATGCTGACTCTGGTAATGATGTTGATGATGTTGTTGATGGTGACGGTGATGGTGATGGTGACAATGATTATGATGATGCTGATGATAATGATGGATGATGATAAAGAGGGGGCGTAGAAGCAGGAGGAAAAGGAGGAGGGGGAGGGCGAGGAAGAGGAGGAGGCGGAGGAGGGCGAGAAACTAGTTGGAACTGTTCGGCTAAGCGCAAGAGAGTGCGACGCAAATCAGAAAAGGGGCTACCCGAGGCCTCGCTGAACCAACGCAGCCTGCGATTGCGCAAGCACGCCTTCTCTCCTCGGGTACAACATCTCTCTGCTGCGAGACAGGCTCCCTCTTCACAGGCGACTTCGGTATGCCTGCCATCAAATGGTAGCGCATCTGCCAGAACTCACACGACACGCGGGGCAGACGCGGTCCCACTGCTGCGGCTCAGGTGACGGCTGCGCGAGCTTTCCCGCGACCGCCCTGCCCGCCCTCAACCCCCAGGAGCCGAATCCTGAGACGGTCCAGGACGAAGGCCCTGGCGAGGGGTCTGAACAGCTGCAGGGGCCCTGAACGTGGGAGCAACCACAGGGCACTTTCACACCTGATTTTAACTTAGCCGCTAACGTCGCATACAGTCGAAGCGTTGACCGAAGGAACCCTGAATAAGGAACGAGGCCCCTTTTTCCCATAAGTTCAACCTCGATTTCCTATGCAAACCCTCAGGATAACCTCAGACAAACTGTTAAACCATCAAGGAACACCGAGCCCCTCCCCAACGAAGAAGGTTCCTTTTTCAGCGCCCCGACTGTATTCTGGGGTATCTTGAACACAGCACGAATCATCGCCACGAGACTATGTTTCGGTCAGTTTTCGATGCTCGTCCTGTAGAGGGACAGGCCCGACTTAAACTTAGCGCCGACCTGCGCGAAACTAGGAAGGAGAACTCTGCACATGCGCCGATTCTGACCAGGCCCACCCTGAGCCCAGCATCGGTGCACACGCCCGCTGCCCTAGGAGGAGGAGGAGGAGGAGGAGGAGGAGGAGGAGGAGGAGGAGGAGGTGGCGGAGGAGGAGGCGGAGGAAGAGGAGGAGGAGGAGGAGGAGGAGGAGGAGGAGGAGGAGGACGAGGAGCCAGGAAGGTACATGCGCCGATCCTGGGTCGAGCACGGGCCCTGCCAGGATCGGTGCCTGTGTACAGTCCCCTCCGCCCGAGAGCAGGAGAGCGGCGCTCGCCTGCCCGTCGGCGGCCTCTCGCCGCTCCCCGAGGCCTGCCTCCGCGCCGTGCCCCCAAGGCGCGCCGGGCGCGGGCTCGCGCGAGCGCGCCCGGCGCACCCCGGCGGTCCGTCGCCGCGGCAGCGACGCGACACGACCGGCCCCGCAGTCACCCGCCGAGAGCCCCGCGCCCTCGTCCCCTGAGACCATGCTGGCGGTGCCGATTTTTCGCAACAGGCGTTTGCGCTCCGTCTCGGGCCCTGGGACCCTCACGGATCGATCCGGCTCGACAAATGACGCAGAAAGATGGGGTCCGGGGCTCCGGGCTTTTTTTTTTGTTGTTGTTGTTGTTTTCGTTTTTTCTGCAATGTTGCTTTTTTTTGAAACGTCGGCTCCCAGGGATCGGCCACGGCATTGCTTCTTGAATTGGCAAAGGGTCGAGGCCCCCTGAACCACTGTGGGTGTGAGACCAGGGCCTCTTGATACTTGCTTTCTCGGAGGGTCTCTCGACGTGCAACTCTGATGCGGCTTGGCAGGTCATGACTGTTGCCCTGGATAGACTGCCAGCGCTCAGCGAGCCAGGGACGAAGCAACTGCTGATGATCAGTAACAAACAGGAAAGGGTCGCTCACTGACTCCAGCGCCAACGCAAACGCTGTAAGCTCGGCTCTCGGAACCGTCTGACGCCCGCCTCCCAGACAAGGCCCCCTCTCCAACCTCGTTATATAGAATGAAGGGCCACAGCGGCCAGCCCGCAGCTGTCTCCTTCCGGGGTCGGAACGGCGCCCCCCCCCAACCCCGGCCCGCTCCCGAAGAGAGCAGCGCCGAACGCGGGGCGGGCGGCGAGGGAACCGAACGGCGCGGGGCCGTGCTCGACCACTTCCCGACAAAGGGGAAGCGCGCGGCCTCGGGCTCCCCCCCCCCAACCCCCGACCCGCTCCCGAAGAGAGAGCAGCGCCGAACGCGGGGCGAGCGGCGAGGGGACCGAACGGCGCGGGGCCGTGCTCGGCCACTTCCCGACAAAGGGGAAGCGCGCGCGGCCTCGGGCGGGCGGGCCCGCGCCGGCGGGAAGGCACCTCTCGGCCACGAGGACGGGCGCCGCTGGCGCTGGGCGGAGGCCAGTGGGACTGACGTGTGGGCCTCGTCGAAAGCCTCACCCTCGTGCTGGCGACACAACCCACACGCGTTGGAACAGGCATTCCTCTCCCTGCCCGCGCCGCGGGCGCAGACGCGGGGGTGTCGTGGCCAGTGTCGGCCATTCTGGTCTGAGGCCACTGACCCCCCCCGTCCGAAATGGCAGCATTCGGCAATCCTAACTGGGATATTCACATTCTTTCTGCCCCCCCCGACATGATGGCATTTGACAGTACTAACTGGAAGATCACCGCCTCTCTCGAACCTATGGCACCCTTGGCGGGCAAGGATCAGATCTCCGCCCCCAGCTCAAGCCCCCCGTCTTCGAAGTGCCCAAACGCCTTGCGTCGCTTCCACTCAAAAGCAATACCATCGAGCAGCTGAGTAAAGTCGGCGTCGCGCGCTTCGAATCCTGGATCCTCGGCCCTGAGGAGGGGGGTTCTATGCGCGCGGCCCGCTGGGGTGCATTCAGAAGCCAGGAATCAGCTCCAACTGGGCATCCAATCAGCATCGTGCAAACCTGGAATGGCGGCGCCGAGTGGCCCGCTGACTCTGCACCGCCTAATCGCGGGCTCAAGTGGGCAAGAATAGAAATGCCTCCACGCCCGAACAACCCTACAGAACGCAAAGGCGCAGTCGCGCGCCAAACCATCGGCCGCTCGAACACCAGCTGCCCGTGCAACTCAGCGGCGGGCCCTTTCCTCTCCATGTGGAGACAACATTGGGTGTCAAGCGCCTGGTGAGCCTTTTTTTATTCGGCGGTTCGACATTGGGCGGCAAGGGGGAGGGGGGGGTGTCTGGCTCCAGACCTATGCGTAGCGCGACTGTTTGCAAGAGTGTGGCCTCTGGGAGAGACTCCACCCGCTCGAAAGAGGCGCCAAACAACAGCCAAGATCTACCCCATCGGGGATGGGAAGGGCGCTTTGGGGCCCGCGCCGGTCGGCAATGCAGTGAAACAAACAGCGATGCCTGCCAGGTCCTTCACATGCGGTGCCTGGTGGGGAAGGGGGGGGCACTGCGTCGATGGCCGCGACCAGCCTGCGGGGGCGCCCCCGTGCTCCCGAGATCCCCGCGCTGCTCTGCGCAACTTGGCAGAGCGGGAGGAGGAGGAGGAGGAGAGGGAGGAGGAGGAAAAAGGAAGTAGGAGCCGTGGGACGCCGTGTCCCTGGGAGGAAGAGGAGACGGAGGAG